CACTTGGGACTTGTGACCATATGAAACGCCAGCACAACGGAGGCTCGACTTGGCCCCGTTCCTGCCCCCACTCTTCTGATCCAGCTTCCTGCAGGAGGCTGGGTTCTTTACACCCACCTGCGGCCCGCATCCTCCCTACCCTGCAATGTGGGAGTGGTGGATAGAGTTCCTGGCTCCCATGGGGACATGTGGAGGGGCGAAGTATCCCGAGATGGGAGCTCTGTCTCTCTCCTTCTGCATCTCTGCTTTTGAAATCAATATGAAAATAAAGATAAACAATGCATTCACTGAAGTTATCCCCACATGTCCCCATGACTGCTCCGCAGATCATTACAGAGGCGCCACCAGCCCGGGGTTGCCCCTTGGGAATCCAAGCCAAGGTTAAAAGAGGCTGAGGCTTTTCCTGAATCTCCGGAGGTCCGCGCATCCCCCGATACCCCCGTTTCCACGCGGGTTGCCGCAGGCCGACCTAGCCCGCCGCAGGAGCGCGCGGGTTCGCCCCAGCCCTTTAGGGCAAGCAGCCGGCGAACCTGCGAGAAGCCGCTCCAAGAGGCGGTGCTGGCGCGCGCCCTGGCGGGGGGCGCGGGGAACTGCAGGTTGCCGTCCGCCCTCGGGGCCAAAGGCCTTCCCGGTCACCTGGGAGCGGCTGCCCAATGGGACGCACCTGACCCGAAGCCGAGGCGACGGCGCCGGGCAGTGAGCCAGGGGAGTCTCGGAGGGGCAGAAGGTGAGGGGCAGACCGTGCTGGAGGCGCCGAGCAAGGGTGAGCGGAAGTGCGGCGGCTTCTGGGCCTGCAGGGCCAGAGTCAAGAGAGGGTCCCACGATTGCCCCTAGGGATCAAGGCTTCCAGCAGGGACAGGGACGCCGGTAGCCGCTGACGACGCCCAGGCCTGCACCCCGGCGGACAGTGAGTGCCTCGGTTTGTGCACGCGTGTGGGCGGTGCTGAACCTCCCGGAACCCACTGCAGCGTCTTCCCGTTGCACGGGTGGCTGTGGCCAGCGCTGGGCAGAGGTGGCCTGGGAGGGAGACACTCAAGCCCTGCCCCCTCCTACCCCTCAACCCAGATGGCGTCGCCGAGCCCGGACACTCCGTGTTCCTGCGACTGCTTTGTCTCTGTGCCCCCGGCCTCGGCCATCCCGGCTGTGATCTTTGCCAAGAACTCGGACCGACCCCGGGATGAGGTGCAGGAGGTGGTGTTCGTGCCCGCAAGCACGCACGCTCCTGGGAGCCGGCTGCAGGTGGGGGAGACCCCCGGGCTGCTGGGAGGAGGGGCACGTAGAGGTTTTCTTCTGGGACTTTCTCCCTCTGCCCTCACGCGCACGGGCACACACACACACACACACACCTGGGAGGCTGCTTAGACCCAGCTTCAGTGGGCCTCAGCTGCCTCAGCTGTGAAATGGGAACGAGACCTTCCGCGAAGTGAAATCTGAGCAGATTCTTCCCTCTTCCCTTCTAGTGCACCTACATTGAGGTGGAGCAGGTGACAAAGACCCACGCCGTGGTCCTCAGCCGTCCCTCGTGGCTCTGGGGCGCTGAGATGGGCGCCAACGAGCATGGTGTCTGCATAGGCAATGAGGCTGTGTGGACCAAGGAGCCAGTGGGCGAGGGGGAAGCCCTGCTGGGCATGGACCTGCTCAGGTGTGGGCCCCACCCCACAGACAGGAAATCTGAGGGCAGAGTTCTGGCTCCAGGCTCCCCATTCCCCAACCTCACCCCGACCCTGGCTCCCAGGGTTCTTCTCTGCTGGCTTTGCCCAGGGATGGGTGGGGGAGGGGTGCCCCGCCCCCTCCTCTTTCTCCCACTTCCGTCAGCGCAGGCTAAGGAACCTCTCCTGGTCCACAAAACCTGGCAGCGGCTTCCCAGCTGGCTTTCCCAGACGTAAAATGTTATGAGCCACATGTTCATGTAGAGGCTCAGTCTACAAAAGCCCCCAGCAGGGGTTGAAGGGACCCTCGGAGGAAGGCCGCTGGCCCATGGATGTGCTGTGTGACTGCGGCCTGCCACCAACCCTCTCTGGACCTCTTCTATCTGCTGGCACTTCCACCCCCACCCTATGCCCTAGAGAGCTCTCTCTCTTTGCCAGGCTGGCCCTTGAGCGGAGCAGCTCTGCCCGGGAGGCCTGGCACGTGATCACAGACTTGCTGGAGCGCTACGGACAGGGGGGCAGCTGTCGGGAGGACCCCACGCCCTTCTGCTACCACAACACCTTCCTGCTGGCTGACCGTGCCGAGGCATGGGTGCTAGAGACGGCCGGGAGGCTGTGGGCCGTGCAGAGGATCCAGGGTAAGGACCTGCCTCCCAGAGGTGTACCGCCCCCCAACCCCATCAGGCCAACGTCCCTGAGGCAGGGTGGACCTGGATGGATGCAGGTATAAACCTCCCAGGAGCTCTTGGCTCCCTTCACTTGCTGAATTCTTATGGTTCAGCCAGCTAGCTGCTTCCTTTGTGAAGCCCTCCTGGATGCCTCTGGGTACTTGGGCTCCTGTCTCCTTCAGGATGCTCACCCCATGATTTGTCCATCTCCCCTGAACCTTACTCCTGAAGGCTCCAGGAGGGTAGGTTGTCCTGCTCACCCTCATGTCCTCGGGCCTCACCCAGTGCCAGCACGGAGCAGGTGCGTGATGACACGTGAACGCGCCTCCCCTCCTCCACCTCTATGTCCTCCACAGAGGGGGCCCGCAACCTGTCCAACCAGCTGAGCATCGGCACAGACATCTCAGCCGAGCATCCGGAGCTGCGGACTCACGCGAGGGCCCAGGGCTGGTGGGATGGGCATGGTGCCTTCGACTTTGCCCAAGTCTTCTCCCTGACCCGGCAGCCTGTGCGCATGGAGGCTGCCAAGGCTCGCTTCCGGGCCGGACGAGAGCTGCTGCGGCGAGAGCAAGGTCCGGAGTGGCGGTGGGGAGTGGGCCAGGAGGCACTCGTCCATGCCCTCCGCCTCCCCTCCCGGCTGGCTCACCGACCCCTCCCTGGCAGGGACCCTCACAGCCGAGGTGATGATGGACATCCTCAGAAACAAGGAGAGTGGCATCTGCATGGACTCCGGAGGCTTCCGTACCACAGCCAGCATGGTATCCATCCTGCCCCGGGACCCCAGGCAGCCCTGCGTCCACTTCCTCACAGCTACACCAGACCCATCCAGGTGAACAGGACTAGGCCGGGGAAGGCGAGGAGGGGGTGTGTGTGTGTGTGTGTGTGTGTGTGTGTGTGTGTGTGTGTGTGTGTGTGTGTGTGTGTGTGTGTGTGTGTGTGTGTGTGTGTGTGTGTGTGTGTGTGTGTGTGTGTGTGTGTGTGTGTGTGTGTGTGTGTGTGTGTGTGTGTGTGTGTGTGTGTGTGTGTGTGTGTGTGTGTGTGTGTGTGTGTGTGTGTGTGTGTGTGTGTGTGTGTGTGTGTGTGTGTGTATTGAGGAGGGATGTTGGGATGGGACAAGGAGGTGAGAGGGTGTCACCCACCTTATTCTTCCATCTGTGAACCAGGTCTGTGTTCAAACCTTTCATCTTTGGACAGGGGGTGGCCCAGTCCCCCCAGGTGCTGTCTCCCACCTTCGGAGCACAGGACCCTGTTCGGACCCTGCCCCGATTCCAGACTCAGGTGGATCGCAGGCATGCTCTCTACCGGGGACACCAGGCGGCCCTGGGGCTGATGGAGAGCGAGCAGGTACCCCTGTCACCCACAACCCCCACCAGGGGATAGAGACTCCCCTTGGCACACACCTGCCCTGCTCTTGATGGAGCAGCCCTTGGGGGAGTGATGGGGAATGAGGGAGCCTCCAGGGCTGGAGACAGGGACCCCTTTCTTCAAGGCCAGCTGCTGGGATGGCCAGTGTGAGGACATGCGAGGCCCTGACTCCTGGCTGAGCGCCCCTCTGCCTCTGCCTGCAGGGTCTGGGCCAGCAGCTCCGGCAGAAGCAGTGCGATCTGGAGCAGGAAGGCCTAGAGGCCGTGCGGAGGTTGCTGGCCGGAGAGTGGAGCCCGTCGACCCAGGAACTGGCTGGCCTCTTCCAGGCCTTCGTGCTGAGAGAGGGCCAGGCCTATGCATGAGTGTACTGCTCCTGCCGGCCTGGCACGGGCCCAGAACCCAGGCGTGGGGCTCAGGCGGAGCCTGCAGCTGTGTTTTGACTGGGGTGCTGGGCCTGGGCCTTAATAAATGTTTGATTTCTTGCTCAGTGAACTTGATTCCAAGGCTGGTGGGGTTGGGAAAGCCAAATGAGGGCAAAGGGCTGGCCTGAGCTGCCCACAGGGCCTGGGGTTGCCCCACTGGGTAGCAGGTTCTTTCTTCTTATTATTTTTTTTAAAAGATTTGTTTATTTTTATTGGAAAGGCGGATATACAGAGAGGAAGAGAGACAGAGAGGAAGATGTTCCATCTGATGGTTCACTCCCCAGGTGGTCCCAAAGGCTGGAGCTGAGCTAGTCTGAAGCCAAGAGCCAGGACCTTCCTCCGAGTCTCCCATGCGGGTGCAGGGTTCCAAGGCTTTGGGCCGTCCTTCACTGCTTTCCCAGGCCACAAACAGGGAGCTTGATGGGAAGCGGGTCCGCCGGGATTTGAACTGGCACCCATATGAGATCCCAGTGCACGTAAGACAAGGACTTTAACCACTAGGCCACCGTGCCAGGCCCATGGGCAGCAGGTTCTTAGGAAGCGGGGAAGGGTCTAATCATGGAGGTTGGGCAGGGGCCCCAGGGACAGGAAGTGAGCCTTTTCAAACCTGCCTTCTGTTTGGGGACAGTGAGGACCACAAGGTTTGATCCCTGGTTTGGCCTGACAAGGAGTGCTGCCCACTTCCTGCCCACTCGGGTACCAAGTGGTCAAATAGGGACCCATGCTGTGCCTGTCTCTGGCAGCCCCTGTAATTCCCCTCGCCCCCACTGCCCCGCAGACCCCAGATGCCCCAGGTGACACAGAGGCATGGTCTTGGTGAGTTCCTGGCTGAGACACTTTATTGGGTGGGGCCCTTGGGAGGGGCCCCTCTGCCACGCTTCACTCACATGGCCCACCTATTTCTTGACCCTTTTGGTTGCAGTTTTAGTGGGGTTGCAGGTCTTGGGGGCTGTGGCCACATGGGAGCCCTTCCTTGCCTGGGAGTTGGGCTGGTGTCTGGGTATCAGAGGGCAGGATTTCTTGGTGGGAGAGGAGGCCAGGGATGAGGCGGGGGCTTCAGGGGCTGTCTCCTTCCCCTGCGTGGGCATGGCAGAGGGGCTGCTGTCCCCCGCCATGGGGACTCCTGGGGGCAGCGGGGGCAGGCTGGTGAGGGTTGGTTTCGTCTCCATCCTCAGGAGGTGGTCTGCCAGCGCTTCCTGCTGCCTGTGCTCCCGGAGTCTGCTCAGCTCCTGCTCCAGCTCCTTGAGGAAGCCTGGGAGGAGCCAGGGTGCTGCGAGGGGCCCTGGGCTCAGGAGGAAGTCCCCTCTGGCTGAACCCCCCTCCCACTTATCCCCAGTTTGGAGGAACCTGAGGCAGGTGGGGTGGAGGTGGGGGAGCAACTATTGACACCTGACCCAGGTGCAGATCTGAGCTGGATCCACTTCCCCAGATAACCCCCTATGTCCCCAGAGCAGGGCCAGTGCCAATGGGTCCCTGGGGATGGGTGGGGTGTCCACACATGGTACATGACAGCTGTCATGGTCACCTTGGTCTGAGCAGAAGGGACCACTCAGCTCCGGGAACTCTTCATCCTCATCGCCTGAGGCTTGCTCCTCATCCGAGGTCCAGCGTTCTGACACGGGCTGCCCATCCAGGTCCAGGAGCAGCGGGAGGGCCTTGGTCACCTGCTCCCTGCACAGCAAAGGGAGCACAGGATACCCGAGAGGATACCCATGGTGTCCAGGAGGGGGCGCAATGCAATGACACTGGCCTCAGTCTCACACGCCTGGGAGCAGCCGCTCCTGGGAAGGACATGGACTTGCGATAGCCCCAGAAAGCTCTGGGCTGCCTCCTGTGGGGCATCCTGGACTGGGACCCCTGGTTGGAGGCTGAGAGGGAAGCCTGAGGAGTTGGCGGTGCAGCTGGGCCAGCACCTCTGCATCCTCACTCAGCCCCATCTCACCTGTAGCCATCTTGGGTGGTGCACTTGTTGCCTGTCAGGTTGAGGATGAGCAGACTCTGCGGGAACTCCCCTGTGCACGGCAGAGAGGGCCTGAGCATGTCACCGGCCTTCCTGCCACCACCCCTCAGTGAGCCCCCGGGGGTCCCTGATGACGCAGCGTTGTGTTGTGGACATGCAGGGGGGACTGATGCCAGCACGAGGAGATGCAGGCACAGACATGCCTACCCAGTTTCAGTGTTTCGATCTGGTTCTCAGAGAGGTCCAGGAACTGGAGATACGGGAGGCCAAGGAGGTTTTCTACCTGCCTGATTCGATTTCCTGCCAGAGACAGAAAGCTGGAGGGGAGGGACAGGATGAATCGGGCTCAGCCGGGAGAAGGGAGCCAGGCAGCTGGGTGACAAGCGGGGCACAGGACACCTTGGGGGTGAAGGAAGCAGGACTGGGCTTGCTGAACCCTCTGGCGCCCCTGCCTGCCAAGGAGCCAGGCTTGGAGAGATATGAAGCAGTTCTTTGGGGTGCTGCCAAGCTCTGTCAGCTTCTCCCTTGCCTGAGCCCCAGTTTCACGTACCGCAGGGAGGGGACACAGGCCAGGTTCTCAATCCGCTGGATCTTGTTCTACGGGAAGAGACGCTGAGATGAGGAAAGCCAGCTGTGGTGGGCCGGACGGGGGAGATCCTCTAAGGGAGACACCCCCATTCTTTGCAGGGTGTTGCCACCCTGGGAAAGCAGATTTGCTTCGTCCAAGTGTGAGCCTGGGGCAGGCCCAAGTTGATGGGCAGATGGCTCTCTGACCACACAACCCATACAACCACAGGACAACCTGAGAATTGCAGCAGGAAACCATGGGGCCACAGAGAGGAGGGAAAAGGCTGGCACACAGAGGAGACAGTGGTTGCGTCCTAATTTGAGTTGTAAGGTCTGGGGTGGGGGAAGAGCGGAGCTCAAGGGAGCTGGGTGTGTGTAACCCGGGGCAGGCTGAGAAGCAGCCGAGAAGGGTCTGGGGGATGTAGAGGGGCCAGTAATAGCTCCATCTTCGGAACGGCAATGAGCTTGAGCTATAGAACATGACAGGTGTGGGCTGGGAGTGGAGAACTTGAGCTGGAGATGCACACTCAGGGTCTCCTTTTTTTTTTTTTTTTTTTAGGGGAGCACTGTCTCCATGAGTCCTGACTCGCCTGGGACCAGCTGAAACGAAAGCCAGGGGGTGACAAGGGACCCGGCTGGCTGCTAGGCTCCCCGCGGCCTGCAGAGAAGGGAACTTGGGGTGAGGGGTGTGGGGAGACATTACCGCTTGCAGGTAGAGGCTGTGAAGGTTCTGGAGACCCTCGAGGTTGCTGATGGTGGTGACACCCTCCCGGTCCAGGCGGACGGTCTGCAGGTCGGCCAGGGTGTGGAAGCTGTGCGCAGAGGGGACGGGATGTGTCACTCCTGTGATCTGCCACAGGCTGGGGTGGCAGCTGAGTGACTTGGCTCAGGGGGTTGTATCCAGGTCACGAGACAGGCTTGCTCCAGAGGCCTGGCTGGCCGTTAAGGGCACTGGGAAGGGCCACATTGAGGGAGGAGGAAGGGGCAGGGGGGAACCAAGGCGATGGCCCACAGGGATTCCTCTGGGGTCCCTAACTGGTGGATTTTGGAGGTTTGGGCTGTAGCATCACATGTTAAGCCGTGGCCCACAGTCCTGACATCCCATATGGGTGCTAGTTTGATTCCTGGCAGCTCCACTTCTCATCCACGTTCCTATTCATGCACCTGGGAAAGCAGAGGAGGATAGCCCAAAGCCTTGGGACCCTGCACCCGCGTGGGAGACCCAGAAGAGGCCCTCAGGGAAGTGAACCAGCACCTGGAAAACTTCCCTCTTTCTGTCTCTCCCCCTTTATTTAACTCTGCCTTTCAAGTAAAGAAATAACTCTTACACACACACACACACACACAGTGCAGATTCTGATTCCATGGGCCCAGGGTGAACCTGTGCTTTTTCATTTTGAACAAACTCCCAGCAGAAGCTGATGAGGCTGTCCATCTCTCTCTCTCTCTCTCTCTCTCTCTCTCTCTCTCTCTCTCTCTCAGTTTCTCTCAGGAGAAAGGAGTAAAGGTGTGGAGAGTGACCAAAAAGCAGCCGGGACTGGGAGTCGAGGTGGGCTGCTGCAAGACCACGGGGCAGGCCAGAAGAATGTTATGACTTTTAAAGAAGTTGTATCAGCTGGGCATTCCCATGTCCTGGAGTGGAGCAGTCCGCCCAGAGAGGCCGAGGTGAGCTGACCAGTGGACGAGGCACCGCGGCTTTCACTCTTCCTGCGCTCCTCTGCTGCCCCAGGCACTTACATCCTTTCCGACAGCTGCTCATCTTCAGGGAAACTCAGGTTCCGCCGTGTGATGAGGGCTTCAGTGATGCACACGCCGCCCACCTCCTGGTCCTCCTCGGGGCTGCTCCGGCAGGGCCTCGCTGTGTACAGGTGAGTCCCATGGTGACCAGCGGAGGCCGGACCCCATCGTCGTTCCACTGCTCTTCCCACCTACCCGCCTCCCTACTCACCTCCCGGCATCATCTAACCTAAGGCAGCGAGGACGGCCCTGGGCCTGAACCCAGGGCGCCCGAAGGAGGGAGAAGCTCGGAGCAGACTGATAAAAGGCAAAAGTCAAGAGTGAATCCGGGTGGAAAGTCTGGAGGTGGAGGGCTGAGCAAGTGGGTGACAGGAGCGATTTCCAGGAGGCTGGCGTCGTTGCTAGGAGACCGGACTCCCGGGTGGGCGGGGCTAGATCCAGCTCCAGCGTGCCCCTCGCTCTGCGCATGCGGACTACGCTCTTCACCCCCCGGGGTGTCGAGGCAGCCCGCGACTTCCGGCCCCGGGCTCGCTGCCCCACAATCCTCAGCTCCTTCCGCCTGCGCCGAGCTCCGGGCCGTGCTTCCGGTGGACATGGCGGCGGCCGTGGCTGCAGTCATGCGAGGGGGTCTCCTGCCCCGGGCGGGTAAGGAGCGGCTCCTGACCTCACGGCACCTCGTCCTTGTCTTCCCTGCTCGGCTTCTTCCCTTCCCGTGACCTCTAAGCAGCTCCCTGGCCACGGTTGCCGGTTCGCCGGCTCCTCAGCCCGTGCGGAGTGCCGGGACGTCCAGAACCACAGTGTCTGTTCCCTCGGAAGGTCTCAGCCTTTGTCGCCTTCTGGGGCCTTCCTTTCCCACTCTCTGCCCAGCGGCTTGCTTGTTCCGCTGGCTGTTTTGGTCGTCTGTCCTCCTTTATTAAACTGTCCACACCTGATGGGGCAGGACCGTGTTCACCGAGCAGGGCCAGCAGATGCCAATGCGGTAGATATGTAAGGATGCAAGGGGCCATTCGTATTTTCACCTGCGCGATCTCGTCTGGGTCTTCCCCACTACCGAATCGAATGAGGAAGGCTCAGGTAGCTGAATTTCAGACGGAGCTGAGGGTCCGGCCAAGGCCATGGCTAGTGAGAGATTAGAATCCTGCTCTGCCTGGCAGGGTATCCGCGACTCTCTCTGTTGGAGCCACCACCTTGCGGAAGCTTTTCCCGAGATCCCGTCCCAGGCTTGGTAAAGGTGGACAGTGAGAAGCCATCAAGGAGGGCCCTGGCGTGGAGGGTTCAGGGGCCGCTTTGACTCAGTGCTTTGGAGTGCTTGTCCCCCAGCCCGCTTGCCCTCTGGTGTTGCGTGCAGGCAGAACTGTGAGGGCAGGGTAGCGTTTGTTCCCCCCTTGGGAACAGCGGGTAGAAGTGTCTTTCACATTTCACTGTGCATTGGCGTGGAGAAGGGGTGGGCAGGGTCGGCTTGTCCTGTATCTGCAGGGCCACCCTGCGGGGTTTCGGATCTGGCAGGTCCAGGGCGGAGCTTGGCATTGCATGTGCCTAGGAATTCCTGGTTGCTGATATTGCCAGCTAGCTAAGGGATGAGGCTTCCCAAAAGCCACTGGTTGCAAGGTTGGCATGTGACATCAGGGCTGGTCTCTGGGTTTTACGAATAAAGTTCTATTGGAACCCAGCCTCTTTGCGTATTGTCTGTGGCTGCTTCTGGTGAGGTTAAGTGTTAGCAACACACGGTATGGCCTCTAAACTTGGACTCTTTACTTTTTGGTGTTTAAGATTGAGTTGACTTGGGCCCGGTGTGGTAGCCTAGTGGCTGAGGTCCTCACCTTGAATATGCTGGGATCCCATATGGGTGCCAGTTCTAATCCCAATGACCCTGCTTCTCATCCAGCTCCCTGCATGTGGCCTGGGAAAGCATTCGAGGATGGCCCAAAGCCTTGGGATCCTGCACTAGTGTGGGAGACCCAGAAGGAGGCTCCTGGCTCCTGCCTTTGGATTGGCTCAGCTCCAGCTGTTGGGGTTGCTCTTGAGGAGTGAATCAGTGGACAGAGGAGCTTCCTCTGTGTATACCTGACTTTTCAATGAAAATAAGTACATCTTAAAAAAAAAGATTGAGTTGGCTCAACCCTCTCACTTTTTTTTTTTTTTTTTCTGTGTTTGTAGCATCTCCTCCTTTGTCTCTCATTTCCACACATAACAAGCTTGGAGACATGGAGGCCTCGAGATGAAGTCTCTTTCCTGGGCTCTCCCAGGGTCCTGCCAGGTGTTTCCGTGTCCTGAATCCAGCTCTTCCCGCCCGTGCTGGTCTCAGTCCAGCGTGAGGTGAGGGCTTCCAGGAAGGTTGCCTCCCGCCACGTTGACTTCTCTGCTCGCAGGCCGGCTGCCCACCTTGCAGACTGTACGCCACGGCTCCAAGGCTGTCACCCGCCACCGTCGTGTGATGAACTTTGAACGGCAGAAGCTGATGGCTGTGACTGAGTATATCGCCCCTAAACCTACTGTGCACCCGAGATGCCTGCCGCCCCCTCCCAGCCCCCCCAAGGAGGTAAGGAGGAGGCAGCCTGCAGCCTGGCAGTGGGATGGTGGATTCAAGTGACCCTTTCTCTGACTGCAGGGAAGTAAGACCCCCACAGTCCCCACATCATTGAATCACTTCCTGTGCTTTGGTCTTGTGGTTTAGGTACTGTAAGTTTTAATATTTGAAAGGCACCGTGACAGGGAGAAAGAGAGCTTTCATACATTGATTGACCTGCAAGAGGCCACCCTATAACAGCTGGGGCTGGGCCAAGTTGAAACCAGGTCTCCCATGTGATTGGTGGGGTCCAAGCACTTGGGCCTTCCTCTCTAGCTTTCCTAAACCCATTAGCAGAGAGCTGGATCAGAAGTGAGGCGGCTGGGACTTGAACCGGTGCTCATGTGGAATGCAGGCATCACAGGCGGCATCACAAAAGCAGCCTCCAGGTGCAGGTGCCTTACGGTGAATCCGCCACTGGCTGCGTTGCTGTCTGGGCTCCATGCATCAGGCGGCTCCTGCATTTCCTTCATTCTTCACGTGTATCCAAAACTGTGTGTGTGAAAGCTGCCTACGCAGAATCTCTCCTTAAGGAATCAGAACTTCCTCTTCTCCTAGAGGAATGAGAGACATGTTCTGTCCTTTACAGAGACCAGAAATGGGTGGGCACTTGGCTTGGCAATGAAAACCCTTGTGTCCCACATCAGGGTATCCAGGTTCAGCTCCTGACTCAGCTTCCTGCTCATCCAGACACTGGGAATTAGCAGGTACTCGCTCATCACCTCCATTCGGAGACCTGGTCTGAGGTCCTGGCTGATGCTTTGGCTTGGCCCACTCCTGGCCATTGTAGGCATTTGTGGAGTGAGCCAACAGTTGGGAGCTCTCTGCCTGTTTCTCCTTGTCTACCACTTTGCTTCTTGGGGAAAAAAAAAAAAGTGAATATATGAATTTAACAGGTCCTGTTCCTGTACCTAAAAAATATAGGTTTTTATTATTAATGGGGTATGGACACATGGAGTATGTTCAGGGTTGGAGAGGATCTGGAGGGGAGAGGTGAGAGAGGGAGGTGTTTCTGCCTTTTCTGCTGTGGGAAGAGAGAGCTCATCTTTCCATGTTGCCAGTCTTTATTTGATCTTGGGAAGGGGAATGGTTTCATGATACCGCCCCAGATCCCAGATAGTACTTCCTGGGGCAAGGTCATTGATTGATAGGTAGGCAGGTGGGATCTGTCGGAGGGATGTGGCTCCTAGCTTATGACCTTAAGCTAGCTGTCCGATCTTATTCCCTTGCAGAGATTTCCAGCTCTTAATCTAAGCGTTACTGAAGGGTCGGATTCATCACTTCTGCAGTTGTTTCCTGCTGATCAGGGCATAGGGCTTGCCTGTCCCAGGTTAGGAATGCTCGCTCTGTCTCAACTAATGAATCACTCTCTTGAACTGAGAACTTCCGCTTGGTGCTGGTGACCGTGGCCCCCGCATCTTTAACATTACTTTGAGATGTTGAATTCCTCGCACAGGGGTCAGCAGTGTAGGTTATTTAATCCTGTGTGCCAAGGCCAGACCACACTCCCATAGATCGGAGATCCTGACGTGTCTGAGGCCAACATGAGTTGTAAGGTTATGCCGGTTGCTGATAACCAAAAGCTATTGGTGGGCCTGCCCCTACAGCGAGTGCTGTGGCCTGGCTTGGGTTGCCTGTGGTGCTGCCTGTCTTGGCCTCCTCGCCTTGAACGCACTAGGATCCCATATGGGCGCCAGTTCTAATCCCTGCAGCTCCACTTCCCATCCAGCTCCCTGCTTGTGGCCTGGGAAAGCAGTCGAGGACGGTCCAAAGCCTTGAGATCCTGCATCCATGTGGGAGACCTGGAAGAAGCTCCTGGTTCCTGGCTTTGGATTGGTTCAGCTCCAGCCATTGTGGCTATTTGGGGAGTGAACCAATGAAAGGAAGATCTTTCCTCTTTGTCTTTTCTCTCTGTAAATCAGACTTTCCAGTAAAAGTACATAAATAAATACATTTTAGAAAAAAAAGAAAAAGAACAGTGTTGATGGAGGTCTGTAAGTATATTCTCCAGCTCTTCTCAACTTTGAGGAACATTGCCTTAAGGAAGTGGAATCTTGTTCTCTGAAATGTGACAGTTTGGGGCCATTGCATCCCACGTGGGCTCCAATTCAAGTCCGGGCTGCTCCACTACCAATCCAGCTCTTTACTAATGTACCTGCGAAAGCAGACAAATGGGGCCCCAGCGCTCGGGCTCCTCACCCACACGGGAGATCTGGATGAAGCTCCTGGCTGCCAGTTTCAGCTGGCACAATCCCAGCAGTTGCGGCCATTTGGGGAGTAAACCAATGTATGGAAGATCTCTGTCTTTTTCTCTCTGTTAACTCTGCCTTTCAAATAACTAAATATATATATATATATATATATAAAAGTGAGTTTTAAAGTCGTACTATAAAAAGCCATCTTGTGACAAGATGATTTAGCAGGAGGACAGTATCAGACTGAAATATGTGGTGGACAGTGTTGTGGGACAGTGTTGGGGAGCGCTGCCCTCCAGTCTGGTTACCCAGGGAAAATGGGCAGGTACAGACAGGGGTGGTTAGATGTGGCTCGGCTCAGGGCCCACCTGTTCTGCTCATCCCTGTCCTGTTCCCTGGGGAGCATCGTGGGCAGCTGACGTCCCCTGTCCTGTCCTGACTGCAGGAGACAGGCCTCGTCCGGCTCCTGAAGCGAGAGGTAGCAGCAGTGTTCAGGGACAACCGGATGATTGCCGTCTGCCAGAACGTGCCTCTGAGCGCTGAGGACAAGCTGCTCCTACGGCACCAGCTGCGCAAGCACAAGATCCTGGTGAAGGTCTTCCCCAACCAGGTAGGACAGACCCCTGGCAGGGATGCCCCTCTCCCCCTACATCTCGGGGGCTACTTCTGCAGTGTGGTGCTGCCCGCTCCTTCCCCCAGAAGCCAGCCTCTCACCTGGTACCTGAACTGCAGTTGGGGGTTGAGGGGACCCTGGGATTGCCACTTGTGTCCGTCCTGAAAGCCTCTCCTCCCCCTCCCCCCGTCCCCCAAAATTATTCTCCCTGCTGTCCCAGGTCCTGAAGCCTTTCCTGGAGCAGTCCAAGTACCAAAACCTGCTGCCCCTTTTTGTGGGGCATAACATGCTGCTGGTCAGCGAGGAGCCCAAGGTCAAGGAGATGGTGCGCATCCTGAGGACGGTGCCTTTCCTGCCGCTGCTCGGTGAGCAAGCACCCTTGCAGTTGCGGGGAGCAGGACAGGGGTCGGGGAGCTGTGCTGCAGCAGCCTGGGGGCGTCTGGGAGGGAACATCCTGTCCTGGTGGAGCCCCAGTAAGCAGCATGTCTGTTGTAGGCCAGCGATGTCGCTGTGACACCTGCCCCCCTCACTAGCCCCGGCCACTGGTAGGAAGACTGGAGAGGGCAGAGAGGGAGAGAGACGAATCAGATACTTGGAGTCTGACAGTGGAGGGAGATACTTCAGACACTGCAAGTGAAAGATGCTGAGCAGACACGATACCTTTAGCCTGAAGCAGAGCATGCGCACATCTTGAAATTCAGATCCATGGATCTCTGATTACTTTACACACCCCCTCCCAGATTCTTTTTATTTTATTTTTTCTCATGCTAAAATGCACATAATATTCACATCCTAACTGTTTTTAAATGCCTAGTTCTGTGGTGGTCATTGTGTTGGTGATGTTGTGTAGCCGTGACCACCATGTGTCCGTGAGTCTGGAGCTCTGGGTCCATTAAGCAGTCCCTGATTCTGTCTTCAAGAAACTTCAGGAAACACTGACTGGTTGGGGTCTGGGCCAGTAGATCAGCACACATAAGTGTTCTGAGGGAAGGGTTGGGAAGGTGGGGAAGGGTCATTCCCAGACAGAATGGGCATGGGCTAGGGCAGGCTGGGAGACTGGGGGGGACCAGAGGCAAGTCCCTCAGGTGGGTCGTGAGGCTGTTTTCAGAGAAGAGAGGGGTTTGCAGGAGCCTGTTTGACCCTGTGTCCTCGCAGGTGGCTGCGTCGATGATACCATTGTCAGCCGGCAGGGCTTCATCCACTACTCCAAGCTGCCCAGCCTGGCCCTGCTGCAGGCAGAGCTGGTCGGAGGGCTTGCCCTCCTTGGGGCCCGTACCCACCACCTGCTACAACACCAGCCCGCCCGGCTGACCTCCCTGCTGGATCATTACATCAGACAGCAACGTGACAGAGACTCTGCCGTGTCCGCCAGTGGGAAGCCAGACCCTCCTGACCCTGTTCCAGACTCCTAGGCAGCTTGTTAAGCCCTGCTCTCCCCATGCCTGGACTCTGCCCCACCTGGCTATGCAGAGGCCTGGAAGAACTTGGGGTGAGGAGTGATAGTAGCGTCCGCTGGTGCCAGACCAGGCATGATGCAGAGCACTTGGGGGAGGCTGGCAGCTGTGCCACTGTCTTCCTCTTCCCTACTTGCTACCCGACGGGAGCTGAAGCACTTTCAGCTCTCCAGCGGAGCTGCAAAGACTAGGACAGCAGCCCTCGATCATGGTCCCTTGCTGCGTGTGTCTCCCCAGTCCCCTTGTGCGTGCAACCTGCCATGGCTCAGTTAAGTCACGGTTCCAGGAGTGGCACCCTTACAGAGCTTGCCGAGTACCAGGCTCTGGGCTGTGTCTGTGTGTCAGTTCTTCCATCCTGCACCATACTGGGCCCCTTCCACAGAGAAGAAATTGGGGGGGCAGGGAAGAGTCTACACAAGGTCACACAGCTAGTGAATGGCAGCACAGGTGGCTACCGGACCCAGCTGGTTGGAAGACCTTACCCTGAATTTTGTCGCTGGGACTTTGTTCTCACCTTGTGACTTTATGAGCAAATAAAACACATTTTTCCTTACCCTCTTGCTGTCTGAGGTCATTCTTGTAAACTGACTCAGAGTCCTCCCTGCCTCACCTCCCTTTCCTTCTGGAACAGTGTTCTCTCCCTGTGTGCCTGACCCACAGATGGCACCTTTTGCACAACAGTCCTTTCACAGCAGCTCAAGCCATACCCACCAGCCTGTGGGTACGTTTTTGGGGTGCTTTGGGCACAGTGGCTGGGGAAAACTAAACAGTATTCTGGGGTCTCTACTCGGAGGCCTGTCCAAAACCAGAAGTGTAGCTAGAACCTGCCCAACAGTGTCCTTGATGTGTGCTCTGGGCTGGCATGGCACTGTCTCCTGACCTGGGCACAGTGCTGCAACCTCCTTGGTCCTGGATAGGCACAGCCTGCTGTGATGACCTGCAGCAGCTCTTATGTGGCCCGGGCCAAGACCAGCTTTCCACAGTGTCTGCCCTGTGCTGCATGCCCAGGGAGGGTCCATCACTGTGAAGTGACTAAAGTGCTAGGCTGGCCAGCACTGCCCTCTGATCTGCTCAGAGGCTCTGCCTGCCTCTTGGGCACTGGCAGGAGCTAAGGAGGTCCCTCCCAGGGTGGTCCATAGCAGTGCTAAAGTGAACCTGGACAACAGACATTCCTGACAGGCTGTGAGGACCCCTGACGCAGAACCCAGCATGTGTGGGCATCAAGCAGCAGGGGTTCCAGTGGTCTGAGGCATGTCTGGAACCAGTGAGGAACCTTGCTGGCCATGCCTGAGGCCCCAGCAATAAAATCCCACATCCCAGGAAAGCCACTTTGTCAATCTGTCACATTGATCTGAATGAATTCAAGATCATTCTCGAGAGCCAATTTGTAATTAGAATTGAGTAACTGAGTGTAGTACTCAGCAGAAGAGCAGAACAGCCCAACCAGGAAGTGGGGCTGCTGCTGCTGGCTAAGCCGGCCCTTTTTGGCAGCCAGCTAGCTAGTGATTGCTCTGGCCAGCTCCCTATCCTGCCAGCAGCTCTGGGGGTCCATGTTGCCGCATTGAGGACACCTGACCTGGGGGGGGACCATGGCCTGGGGCGAGGACCTCAGGACAGCTGTCCTCAGAACTCAGCTGCCCCTGCTGAGTGTACTAGACTTCCTTGTGTCCTAGAAGGGCCATGTGTCCCTTCCCTGTCAACCTGATACCTGACTCCAGATTTTGCAGTCTATTTTCAGATGTGAAACGAGAGGCGAGGGTTAATAAGGAAATGGCTGTCCCTGGTAATGCACCAGGATCAAGGCCATGCTCATCTGAATAAGTCCTCTACCCTTATTGGCTTGAGGCCAGCTCTACCCCTGATCTATCTGGAACCATGCCCAGCCAGGGACTGTGCCTCTCCTACCCAGCCTCCCCCGCCACCCCCGCTGGCTTCCCTCTGGCTCTGCTCGGCCCTGAGTCCTCCGGGGAGCAGGGGGGCAGAGCTGAGCGGCCGCCACCCGGAGCTTGGCAGGAGGAGGGACAGGGGAGGGGAAGGTGGGGAGATCCGGCGAGAGAGGGGAGGCTCCAACGGCTCCTTCCTTCCTGGTTCCTGCAGCAGCTGCTGCCACTGCTCCGCTCGGCCAGAAGGGAGCCGGTGAGTCAGAGGCAGAGCGGCCAAGGAGCACGAACGTCTGTGGCCCCCAGGGTAAGGGGGCTGCACTGGCATCAACCGATACCCCTGGGGAGGGAGGGCTCCTCCCACCTGGAGCTCGGAATCTGCTCCTCCGGAGACAAGGGCGGGAATGGAGGTGGAGAGAGGACGCCCGCCCAACTCGCCCAGACCTTCCACCTTCCCCTCCACCCACGAGCAGCCAGGAGCCAGGGTCCCACAGGACCAGGACACAGAGATGCCCACGGATCAGAGGTGTTTTGAAACTTCCAAGGAGCAAATAAGGGCAGAGTTCCCCCTCTGAATCAGCCTCCTGCAGCCTGGGCCCCTAAGCCCTGACCTTCCCGCCTCCCTCACCCTCCCTCCACCCCCCCTCCCAGCCTCAGCTCCTCAGGTACTTGCTGGCTCAGTTGATTCCTCAGCCTTGGGCTAGCCTCACCCCTCCAGTCCCTTCCCCCAGCACTCTCTCTCTCTCTCTCTCTCTCACACACACACACACATACCGCTTCATGCATTATTGATCTCCCAGTGGAGCCACGATGTCCAGGGCCAGTGCCAAGGGCACCTATGGACATGGACACTGCTGCATGACCTGGGCGGTCCTCAGCGTGTTCTTGGCCACCCTTCCTCCTGCCCCGTGTCCCTGCATTCTGCCCTCTGTGTGTGTGTGGTGGGGGAGGGCATGGCACTTCTCATGGGCAGTGATAGAAAAGGGATGGTGAGGTTCTGGGGGATTTTGGGGAACACTGAGAGTTCAAGGTTGGAATCCTAAGGGTGTGTTTGGGAGGGGGTGGCACGGAGCCCTCAGTTTCCCCAAACAGGGTAGGGAGCTTAGGAACTGGAGGCCAGTTGGTCGGGGCTGGGGGTAAAGGGCGTTAGAGGCAGCTGGAGCATGGAGCCCCTGGCTTTCTGTGGAGCCTCACCCTCCATCCCCATGCTTCACCTTCTACTCACCCCTGGGAATCTGCCCAAGACAGCCCCAGGGTGTGTCCAAGGTAGGGCTGGGAGCTCTTGCTGTCATGGCCATACCAGGAGGGCACAGGCAGGGGCACCCTGGGTGCTGTCGGGACAGACTGGAAAGGCTTGGCTGGCGAGCAGAAGTAGTTGGCGAGCTGGAATCTCACTGGTAGGGAAGCTGAGAGCTGAGTCTATGCTAACGGAGTCTCTTTCTCTCTCTCTCTCTCCAAGGACCCCCTCATGAGCAGGTGACACTTTTGCTCTTCCACCTTCTCGGTGTCTACAGCCAGGAATAGCCTGTCCCTCCTACATGGACATTCAAGAGAGGGACCCTCCATCCCTGACTGAGAATGCTCAGTCCTCGAAGTCCTGCAGTGTCCAGCAGGTCTGAGAGTAACTCAGGGGTGACAGGTGGCCTGGTTCCTGGTTCAGGGGCAGGGGGCAAGCATAGTTCCTCACCCCCTCCCTGTTCCTTTTTCCCTCGTTACCATCACCTCTGTTCTGGACTCAGGCCTCAGAGCTGTGGGAGGTGCTGGAGGAACCACGCAACAAGCTGGAGACAGAGGGGACCCGGCCTGAGAGGCAGGAGGGCCAGCTGCTCAAGAAAAGGAAGTGGCCCCTGAAGGGCTGGCACAAGGTAGGGTGGGCAAGGCCGAGGGTAGGTCCCGTGATGGGCCCTGTGGGCATGATGGGGCAAGGGGAGGGTGTGTGGACTGTGCCTTCCCTCACACACCCTTTCCTGTCTGCAATCTGGGCGGACCACACAGAGATACTTCGTGCTGGAAGACGGGATCCTTCACTATGCGACTACACGGCAAGATGTGAGTCAGGGTCTGGGCTGGTGTCTGGCGGGGGAGACTGGCCCTGGATCTGCAGGGGGAAGGGTCTGACTCCCAGATACACCCACTCTTGGCTGGATCTCAAGTGGGTCCACGTGGGTTTGATCTACCAAGGACTGGAAATAGTGAGTCCATATTGAACACACGTAGACTTTTTCTTGTTGTTGTTCCGTAAGCATTGTGGTGTGGCAACTGTGGATCTGGTGCTTCCATGGTAGCAAGTGACCTCAGTAACCCAAAGCAAAGGCTGCAGAAGGATGTGGGTTGGCCATATACACCTATTACAAGAGCCTGTGCAAGGGGATGTGTGTGTTTGGGATCCTAGAATCAACTCATCCCAAGGCTTCTGAGGGGGTGATTGTACTTCCTCAGGCCCCAGTGTTCCTCATCTGTGAGATGAGGAGAGAAGGATCACCCAGGGCCAGGGCAGCTGTCCTATAGGGGAGATGACACGCATGACGATGCCTGGTGCAAAAGAAGGTCCCCAGACACGAGGCCTTACTCTGTGTTGTCTTTGTCCCATGCTGGGAAGAAGCCGCAGGCCTGGACAGCCTCCGGTTCCTGAAGGTGGGGACACTGGGCCTTGCGACTCCCTAGAGTCCAGAATGAGCCTGGACATAGTGGGGAGCTGTGTCCTTAAGGAGGTGATTGACAGGTTAGAGCCGATAGTGGAACTTGGCCATTGCCGTGAGCCTGTGCCCAGCCCTCTGGGACTCTGAGACCCTAAAGCCAGTCTCCTTGTCCTTGCCTGCTGCTCAGATCACTAAGGGGAAGCTCCATGGCTCCATTGACGTCCGGCTGTCGGTCATGTCCATCAACAAAAAGGCCCAGCGCGTTGACCTTGACACTGAAGACAATATCTACCACCTCAAGGTGACCTCCTTGGGAGACAAGGGCATGTTGGCTCCTCAGTTGAGCAGAAGCTCCGTGAGGGGTGGAGAGTGCACGGAGCTCAGGGTCTGCCCTTGCATTTGACAAGGACAAAGCACCCATTGTGTGAAACAGCCAAGGGCAAACCCACCCCTAGGGGCTGTTCCGTGAACAAGCAGAGAGCCGAGGGCTCAGACACCTGAGCCCCACCTGCCTGCAAGATGGCTTTGCACAGACCAGGCCCTCTCACGCGAGACCCTGCTGGTCAGTGGACCCAGCCCTGCCTGCTTGCTCTCTGGGAAACCAGACCTTCCCTTCAGACAGCCCCCTCCTTCGTGGCTTCTGTAGATCAAATCCCAGGACCTGTTTCAGAGCTGGGTGGCCCAGTTGCGTGCCCACCGCCTGGCACAGCGGCTGGATGTGCCCCGTGGCCTGCCCAGCACCACTCATCGGAAGGTAAGATAGGCCCCGGGGTAAGGACAGGCGATGTGACTCCAGTGACAGCTGTGTAGGCACTCACCTTCCTGACTCTTGATTCATCCTGCAGGTTCCTGGCACCCAGCTTCCGCCAGCGGGTAGTACTGCAGCCCTGCCTGGGGTAGAGCCTCGGGAGAAGGTGTCTTCCTGGCTGAGGGACAATGATGGCCTAGACCACTGCTCTCATGGTGAGGAGCGCCTGGTACAGCCCCTCTTTGGGGAGTGCCTTTGGTGGGTCTAGCAGCAAGAGCAGGGGAGA